ACACACACACACACACACACACACACACACACACACACACACACACACAGCCCTACAGTGCACATTTTGTGAACCCGAATTGTGGTTTACGTCTAATACATTCATGCTTAACTTCAAGTCACTTCATGGGAGGCGTTGTTCTAGCTTTTCCACTGACAGCTACAGTCTAGGTTTTTCTGGGACGCGACGCACCGCCCGAACGAGGTAGGGACTGCCTAGTCGTTCTGCCCCTGGCTCTGCCCCGCAGGGAGCCTATGGCCGCGCCGCGTGGGGGACATCACCCACGAGAGCTCGGCTCCTGCAGAGCACAGCTGACTCAGGGCGCGGGCTCCGGGTGCGGACCAGGGCGGCCGGGGAGCCCGGTGCAGGCTCCAGCCAGGCGGGAGACCACAGGCCCGGGGCACCTCCTGGGGAACGGCCGGCCCCGCCGCCCACTCAGGAATCCCGCCCCCGCCAGGCGCGCCCCCGCCCGCCAGCGGCGCGCCACAGCCGGATCTCCTTGAATTTCAACACAAAGGGAATCCTCGGCCGCAGGAAGTACATCACGAGAAAGGGGGACCGGGGGCGGGGAAAGGGGGTGCTTCCCTCCCTCTCCACGCCCCCGCCCTCCCGGAGCCCTGGGCGGCCGTGACGAAACCCTCAGGGTCCCCCCGACGCCCCGGGAACCGGGAGAATTCAAACCAGGAGCCTCCCCTCCCGCCCCCACCGTCAACAGCAGCCGGGGCGGGCGCGCTCACCTCCCGCCACGCCCGCGCCGCCCCCGGCTGCCGCTCGCACACCTGCTCGCTTCCCCGCCTTTCCTTCCGGGTGCGCCGGCACCTGCGCTTACGTTTGTCTTTCGTATCCTCGGCTCTCCAGTTTCCCTTCCACACTCCATCCCTTTCAGGGTTTTGTGTAGAATCCCGGTTTAGGGTGTCCGCTGCCCGCTGCCGGGCTGCGCCCCAGGCTGGGCGAGGCTTTCCCGGCAGAAGGTGGGTGGAGAGGGAGTCCCCGCGAGAGCAAGGGGAGCCGGGCAGGGAGAGACCACTTTCGTTTTCCCAGATAGAGGCCGTCCCTGGGACCCAGCCAGGCTGTCTGCCTGGAGGTGCCGGTCTCGGAGGGAGCCTCGCCGTGGGGGGGCGGGCTACGCTAGTTTGTGTTGGAGCTATTTCCACAAGGAGACCCTACAGGTTTTACTACGTTGTAGCTGGCAATAAAAACAGAAAACTTTTTAGATATGGTTTTTATTCACATTTCACCGTAAAGTGAGAAACCATCCACTGTCCTTTTGAAAAACGATTAGTATTATTTTCTTTTAGTTTAGAGTGGGTAGGAGAGACCAGCGGCAATTTGGAAAGAGGGCCTCAGACACCTATTTTAGGAGCCCAGGGATGAGAGGTGTACACCCCGGGCTTTGGACGAGTTTCCAGGTCGGAAACCTCGGGTGACTGGGAGAGGGGCCGCGCTGCAAAGTCGCAGCTGCCCTGCTTGGGTCGCGGGCGCTCGCAAGGGCAGGTGCACCGGAAGGGGGCTACCTACGCCTTCTCGGACACCGCTGCGGGGCGTCCCCCTCCCAAGTTCTAGGCGCAGGCCGGGTACCTGCCCCAACCTGTCTCCTCCCCTTCTGCAATACCACACCCACGGGACTCAGGTCTCCCCGGGAGAGGGACGGAGCGGGAACAAAGGGGTCTTTGTTCCCTGGCTCCGGGGGGTGGGGTGGGGGTGGGAGTCGTGCTCGCTCGCGCTTCCCGGCTCCCCTTGGACGCAGGGAGGCTTAAGCGCCACCCAGGCTCGCCCAGAATCCAGCGCCTCCTCCACCACCCCTGCGCCTGAGGTCGGGGCGCGGCGCCCCGGCCACCGCGGGCTCCTTCCCGGAAGGCGGGCTGGGTGGGGGGCGAGGCACGGCGCAGCGGCGCCCGGCGGGCACTGCTACCCGCGGAGGGACGGTGAGCGGACTTGGCGGCTGACGGCGGTGGAGGGGGCGGCAGAGCAAGCCTGTGCCCGGCTGCGCCCCGAGGTGCGGGGCGGGCGCCCAGAGCGCTCGCTGGGAGGATCCTGCCCGAGCCGTGGCGGCTGGAACTCGCTCCCTGTCTCCTGCCACCCTCCTCCTCCTCCTGATCGGCCCCACCACCGCGCCGGGCTCCCCTCCCCTGCTGTCATCGCGCTTCCCCTCGCCCTTCTTGGCACTCTCCTTCTGAACCATCCTTCTGGACAAACTTTGATGGAGAATTTCACACCGCGCTGGAAAAATGCCGGTTATGAAAGGACTACTGGCTCCCCAGAACACCTTCCTCGACACCATCGCCACCCGTTTTGATGGAACACGTAAGTCTTGCACTTCGACGACTTGCATGGTATTTTCTGAGAATGATTTTTCACGTAAAAATTACTTTTGCCCCCATCTCTCTCTTTGCAGCAGAGGAGTGAATCCCTCGTTTTTGCCAAGGTCTTTTGTGCGGAGAATTTCTTTTTCCTCTCGTGATTCGGTGTAGTATTAACACTTTGGATTGGTGTAGTTGGCTCCCTTGACTTCTTGGGTTTGTAAGGGCTGGAATAGTGCCTGTGTTCACTTGTGGGACCTGTATTTTGATAACCTCTTTTTGGAATTGTTTTTTAAATTATTATTAATTTTAATGAGACGAGTGGGAATTGCCCATATCGGTGAACTGCCACGTTATCCTTCTAGAGTATTAAGGCTCCCTGGATTGCAGGGAGAGTTTGGAATGTTCTTCGTTCAAGGAGCTTCATTCAGAGAGATCTTTCAGATAGGCAGGGTTTCCCATCATAGTCTAAGAAATGCATTCTAGAGTCAGGATTCTAAGCGTTGTGAGTTTGTTAGGATCTTGATTCCTGCTTTTAAACTCTCTCAATCCTGAAATTACCCTAACATTCAAGGAGAGACCATTGAAGGAGGAGGAGCTGGCTTTATTAAGGCTGATCTGATCATAAGAGAAAGTTTTAGCTTATTTTTATGGTGAATATTATTGGACGTTTAGCTTGTTTAAGCAACAGTTAAAACACAAAGATACGGTGTTGCGAGTGTGTGGATACTTGGAGACTGGAATCACTTGCGAGGTGTTCTCTTTCAGGACCACGGTCAGGTCCCCGTTCCCTCCCAGGCTCCTCAAGCTCTGTCCTTGCGTGGTTGGTCTTCCCAGCAGGCTTATTTTGCCCAGTAATTAGGAGTCTGTGCGCTCACCCCCAACAAACGGTCTCAGTTGATTTCACTGTAAATATCCACATCTTTCTCCTAGCTTCTGTTGCTTCTGTGTGCTATCTTTACTTTTTCTGCCTATTGCCCAAGACTGATAGAAACTCATTTATTCTGAAGGTTTTCTCAGTGGTTCAAGTGTCATTGTTTTCTACTAGGACGGTATATTTCTTGGAGCTAATATGGGAGAGCACATCTGATTCTATTTCCACTCCAGTAGCCGAGACACACACTTTTATTATGTTGGGAAACAAGTCCTGGACTTTTGCTCTTTAGGAGTAGTTGGAAAAGTTTATATGAGAGAGAAATGAAGTATTGACTTGATTTTGTCCAATTTCTACTTTTTACATCTAGCCTCCTCATGGCAGTTGGTGTGGATATTCTCCCAGTGTTTCATCTTTACGTTTAGACATTCTCTCCCATTTTATATTCAAGATATGTCATCAGACAGTATGAATGAAGTGCAACACTATAATATATCTCTTCCTTAGACAGTAAGAGAAAATAAATACTGTAATAAAACTTGAAGTAGCTACCACTGCCATTATCTCCAGCATCACACAAGATCACCACTGTTGTCTCTGACCATACAAGATTGTGGATACTACTATGTTTTGCCTTAGGAACTGATAAGTTTCATGTGCGTGTTTGTTCTTGAAGTTGCAAATTTAAACCCCAAAGGTCGTCAACGTTAATCCCAAATGCTTCTAGAGAAAATGAGATAATTTGTAAACGGTTGTTATTTAGCTCACTGTCATTTAAAGTTGAATGAAGGTGCAGTGTGTAGTGAATCATCCCAGCATGGCCCTGGAATTACTGCAGCAATATATTTAGATACCAGTTGTTAATGAGAGGGGCTATGGATCATTAGTGTGGGTATCTGGGCCTCTTTTTCGCACTATAATATTTGATAAACAGAGGGTATGCAGAGAGAGATAAGTGTACCTAGTAAATAGTTCTTTCTTGTTAAAACTACATATTAATGTTAATAAAATAGAAGGTTAGAAAGTTTAAATCCATATTTGAGAAGGCCATCATCACATTCCAGCATTTTGAATAATAAACTCAAACTGTTGGGGAGCATGCTTGGGTTGTGCTCCACAGGGTCTGGGGGATTCCTGGAGGGAACCACTTCATATGAAATCAATCTGAAAATCATTGAATCACATTTCATAGTGATGAGTAACATGAAGGTTGGCTTTGGCAAGATTTTGTTTACAGCATTTAATGAATATTCCTCATCCTAATAAACCCCACTCAAAGAAAGAGAACTATATTTTCCTATTTGCCCTTTGTTTGAATTGAAAGATGACTTAAGTAATCTGAAACTTAAAAAATACTTTAAGTAAATTTTTAGCCTCATTTTGCCTTCTGTAGATTCATGAGCATATCATTTCCCCTGCTAAATACTTGTATTCTTATGCTATCTTTCTGTGTTGAGACAATTTTATTAAATATAATTGCTATTCCTGAAACTCTGTTTCTATGATCATTCTTCTTTCTCTTGATATTTTATTGTAGTCATTTATTTACTCTTATACAAGATAAAACTATTTGCAAGTTTTAAATTTGTAAAATTGCTACCCGTCCAAATAAAAGCTATACTGGAAAGTGAATAATATTATTGTACCCAAAACACAATGTGTTTATTTGGTACATTGTCTGTCTTATTTGTTAGATATACTTTATGATCATACTAGTTTCTTATTTTGGACAATTCTGATGAAAATATAAGAAAGCAAACAACAACCCTGGCAAACCACCCTGCTAACTTGACCAAAAAGTAGTATCATTGTTAGTCTATTGATTCAGTATTGTAATGGAAAATAATAAAACATCGACTAAAACTTCTCCAGGAAAATAAATAAATATATGGAAAGAAGAGCCCATGACATAATGTTATGGATTTATCAGTTAAGATATATATAAGATATATTTCCAATTGACACTTTGTCTCCCATAATACATATTTCTTTTAATATTTGAGAAGTGAGCTCTTTGTCAAGATTGAAAAACAACTGTGGACCATTAATTGAAACTTTTTTTTCTCATATACAATATAATTTTTAAAAACTATTGGAGATTATAAATTGTTTTATATAAAACTACCCTAAATATATATTTACTATTGAAATATGTTCTCCTGACTTGTGTTTAATTGAATTGTAAAGAGACTTAGAAAAGATAGAAACCTTGCAAATATTGCATATGAATATCCTATTAGGGGAACAAAGTAACTCCAGTGAATTTCTGTGACTGATTACATGTAGCCACACTTCTCACTGGAAACACTCCAAAACATACACATACACACTCACACTCAAACACTATGTTAACATCATGAACTGCACATAGTTCACTCCTACATTGTTCCTTTTTTTTACATGTTTAGTGTATTTTTTTGAATCATTTCTGAGAGTATACTTTTCTTCAAGTAAATGAATATTAATCTGGACAAGGGGAAAGTATAATGAGAACACATAAGTACATATTTTTAAAAATAGTTTTTTAGCACAAATATTTCCCACAAAGTGCCATTTGAGTAAAACACATTTTTTTTGACAATATTAAACTTTCAGAGGGTAGTGTCCATTTTCAAACATAATGGCGCATTAACCTACATTTTCCAGTCATATCAAAATTTGGTCAGAATACTTCTTCCCCTTTGGGGTTTAGTGAGACAAGCCTTAAGTCTTAAAGGAAGTTTGTAGCCCCATGGACTCTATCAAGAAGATTCCAGTGAAAGTACTCAGAGTAATGGTGGCTTAGAAATTCACTCATATTTACAAATATTTTATGTGATCCTTTACAGACAGTTCAAAATGGTCCAAGGAAACTTGTTAAAATTGAAACACTTCTTTTACAGAGGCAATTCAAATGGTTTTTCTTTTCATCTTTATGCTTTCATCAAGGAGCCTAAATCTCTTAATAAGGAGAAGTATATTTAACCCAATGACTTTGGGAGGGGAACAATAGCCAGGATAGTGGAGATAGTCCTAACTCTTTGATGGCTATAGTTTGGAGAACATCAAAGGCATTTAGCAAGTAAGAAAGAATGAGCTCCGTTTTGTATGAGTCTGTCTGTAAAAGGTAGTTACAGGAAAATATTCAAGGAAATACCTAGTACTCTATACATATCTCCTCACAAATAGAAGTTTATAAAGATTTGAAAAAATTTTTTGTACATGCCACTAGTGGTCTCTTTTATTCCTGTATATGTTTAGGGAGAGAGGTCCCTGTGTTTGCTTTCTATTTCTGTGTAGTAAATTACCACAAATGCAGTGGCTTATTATCTCACATTTTCTGTAGGCCACACATTTAGGCAAGGATTAGCTGAGTTGTTTGCTAAGGATCTCAGAAAGCTGCAAACAAGTTGTCAGCTGGGGCTGTGTATTCAACTGAGACTTGAGGCCCTCTACCAAGCTTATGTGGGTGTTGGAAGATTTTAGATCCTTGAGTTTTTATGACTGAGGTCCCTATTTTCTTGCCTGCTGTCAACCGGAGGTTTCTTCAGCAACTACTAGCTGCCCTCAGGTTCTTGCCACATAGCCTCTTCCATATGGCCTCTCACCACAGAACAGCTTACCTCTTCAAGACCAACAGGAGGTGGACTTCTAAGAGTTCACCTAAGTCAGGTTACTCAGGAAAACCTACCTTTTGATTAACTCAAAGTCAACTGATTATGGATCTTAATTACATCTATAAAATTCCTTTTAAAATTATATGTCCTATCCACACTCAAGGGAAATAGATTCAGTGTTGTGTACACAAGGAGGTGAGAACCTTGGGAGCTATCTTAGAATTCTTAGAATTCTATTTTAGAATTCTATCTACTACAGTTGCTGTCCATTGTCGTACTCTCAGACAAAAGCCTAATGTTTTCACTTTTGCTCTTCTATGAAGCAGAATACTTTTGTTTTACATACTCTACAATTCTATATGCACAATACTCTGTTGAGCTGACATGTGAAATCTTTCTGATATAATGCCCAGCTCACTGCAGGGAGGGTCTTCCTTCAGATTTGATGGTGGTGCATGAGTAGACCTAGTCCAGACATTTTAGTCAGCTGTGCTGTCACATTCTTCATTCTTTCATCTAGAAATGATGTGGGGG